CACTACCAGTCAAAAGTTTTTGAACAGTAAGATTTTTAATGTTTTTTTTTTTAAGAAGTCTCTTCTGCCCACCAAGCCTGCATTTATTTGTCCAAAGTACAACAAAAACAATTCTGAAATATATATTTAAAAATATATAAATATATAAAAATATTTAAATGTTTTTGAAATATTTGGTGAGCAGAAGAGACTACTTTAAAAAACTTAAAACTTTAAAAAACAGACTTTACTGTTCAAAAATTTTTGACTGGTTGTGTCTTCTATCAAGTTTTTTTACTCCATTTCTGTCGCTTGCTTATTTGGGGACACTTAATTTTTGGGAATATTAACGACTTGATTGCAGAGACACTATTTGAAGAGAACTGAACTGAGCTGGATGATGATGACATCACCGAATCAACGATGAACTGACTTTAACTGAAATATTGACTATTTACTTTTGTCCTCTTTTTAGAGCTGCTTTACTGCATAACTGAATTTGGTTTGCATTATTGACACTATTTTCCTGTTTAACAATGTAAAGCTGCTTTGACACAATCTGTATTGTATGAAGTGCTATATATAAATAAGGGTGAGTTAACTTGCTTTTGACAATGCTTCATGGAAATGTTTGTGTGCAGTCGGTTTTGAACAATTTTGTATTTTTGAAAATTGATCATTTAATTTTGAAATAAATCAGTAGAATAAGATTACATCAAATCAGTCTCAAGTGAATTGTAATTACACAAATACAATAAGTTGTGGTTACTTAATTTTCTCAATTTAAGTAAGTAGACAGAACTCAGATTAACTTCTTAGTTTTAAGTTAAGTAGATTCACACTTTTAAGTAATCGCAATTTAATGAGTTTAAGTTAGTCCAACTTAAAATAAAAAGTGACCACAACACATTTTCTTTTATTTATTTGTTAATGTAACTCAGAATTGTCAAGTTCACTTAACTTTTTTCTTTTAATTATGCATGAATTTCATTTACTTAATAATTTTAAGGCAACGGGTTTCCTCAATTCTTTTTAAGTAAAGTCAACTGATCGCTTTTTACAGTGTAACAATGTTTTACAATATTAACGTTTTTACTATATTTCGGATTAAATAAATGCAGCCTTGATGAACATAAGAGGATTTTTTTTTCAAAATCTTTAAAAAAATCATGTTTATAAATCATGATGGATTAATTTAATTACTGTTATATGAGTGTGCAAAAAGTTTGCACGCATGCTTTTTAGTTGGCATATGCATGAGAGTACTTTCACATAAGTTTCTGCCGTTATAAATCCCAATTTGTTCCTCACTTTTGATGTAGAATGAAATCCATGCATTTAGAATCTAATCTGACTGTATGTGCGTTAAAAAAAAAAACAACCTGAAGTGCTAACTGAAGGTTGTAGGTTCAATTCCCACAAGGGTGATCTATAACTCACTCTTGTAAGCCTGATGGATTAGGTCTGTGTGTGTGTTAAGTGAATTTTGATTTAGTTTGGATATAAAAACATCACCTAAAGCACACATTTCTCCTCATTTACATACTGAAAGGATATGTTATGCTGATATGTCATAAATTCATCGTAATATCAGGGTTGCCTTTCTAAGCAAACAGGAACTTTAATTTTAAAACCAGTTTCCACAGCTCCCAAAAGGGCTCTCATTCAAGCTCTGCGTTATCATTATGATGATCTAGGAACAACTAGAACTCAAGACTCTCAGACTACCTGACCCCATTATCTACGGATGCATCATCCATTCACATGTATTTCTTGCAGTCAGGACTGTTTTCTTGTGCACTATGATTACGTGACTGTCTTTGTCTACAGGTAAGGCATGTCTGCCGCAGAATGCGAGTAATGCACCGATCTTATCATTTAACAGGGGCTTGACAGCTGTCACTCAAAACTAACCCTCTCGCCTGTGTTCAGTGCTACGTGAGGAAATGGACAGGAAAAACACTGACACGAGGTGGAATATGACCAATAATAGATTTACGTCAAAATTAAATGTACAGATTTGGCTTGACAAGCTTGGCTCTTTAACGGAGCATAAAATAAGCATTAAAACACACTTATGTATTATTAAAATCTTGTATTTTGATTAAGTGTATAATTTTTTGACTGTTATGGAGCACATATGATGTGACAAACCGAGTTTAATAACTAATGCCTCTCAATACAGTAACTGTTCTCCACTTCATAGTTAACGTTACACTTTAGCGCTGCTAGCTAACCACTTCACACATAATTTTTTTTTTTAACTATTTGCTGTGTTTAGAGCGTCTCAAACAAGTGGTACTTACGTGAATAGTTCATGAAGAGCATCATGCTGCAGAATTATTTAGTTTAATCCTTTGTAAATCCATAAAACAAGCTCAAAAGAGACGCTCGCAGACGGACCGCTCTTCACATCACAACTGACGAGAGAAAAACTTACTGAGTGAGTGACTGACTGACTGACTGACTCACTGACTCAAAACTTAAACACGTGACCTCAAAGCAAACTTCCTATTGGCTGGTGGAGTGCGGCAGATCGTGCCGCTTGTTTTCCTCGTCAAAATTACATGTGCTGCTCTGAGACTGGAGAAATGTACAGTAATAATAAAGGTGCTTTATTTTAGAGATAACAGTGAGTGAGATGTTGATCACATAGAGTGACGTGTGTGTGTGTGTGTGTGTGTGTATATATACATGTATGTATGTATGTATGTATTTTTACTAGTTTTACTTTTCTTTAGTTTTGCTTTTCTTTAGTTAGTTTTACTTTTCTTTTTACTGCATGTATTTGGTAATTTGTATAGGCCTATATATATATAAATTACCAAATACAGGCAGTAAAAAGAAAAGTAAAACACTGATAATAATAAATTATATTTTTATTTATTAATAAAAAACACTGATAAGTGTAGAATATAAAAAAATTACAACACATATTTTTATATCAAATTGTGGACTTTCTAATAAAAACAACTGAATATAATAATATCAGTATAATAAACAAAAGAGACATTGGCACAGAGAAACGGATCCCATTATAACTAGAAAAGATGGGGGAAATGTGAAATATAAAGTGTATCCTAATTAATTATTAATCACAACTCTAATACACGTTTATCACTACAAAATAAAAACATTTCTAAAACAAAAGCAGCACGTATCAAAAGCGTAGCAATAGAAATGTTGATCGCGCCTTTGAAAAATGACGTGACTCTGCCGACACCTTGCGGCTGAAAGTTTCATTACCTGTGTATTTACGTCCGTGTGTGTGATATTTCTAAGGTGTGTTTATGTGTGTTCGTATGAGCTTAGACATGTGTAGACCTATAGAAACTCCCCGTTAACAGTCGTGCTTTGAAAAAACAGGAGGAAATCCACCGCGTGGGTCCTTCGTTGCCCGCCGTCGCTTCCTGATTGGTTTCATATTGAACATGGCGGCTGTTAGTAAGTATCTGACATCCGGTGTTACGAGATTTTCGGTTTCCAAGATGTTCGGTTTCAGTGGGTTCGGTTTCATATGCTCCATACATGAATATTCATGCGTTTCCCGGACATGCGCGTGGAACCAGGTGGAACTGAGAATTTCAGTTCAGGCTTGTATCTCAGTAGGTTTAATAGAATATTTAAAAAAAGGTAAATATATTTACAGCGTTGCACAAACCTTTGTCTAAACTACATTTGTTCATCATTTTGTAACAGTTTATAATGTTTTTATTAGTTTGCACGTTTTGTGCAGTCGTCATGACTGAATGATTGCAGACATTCAGCACACTTAAGCTAGTTGTAACTTACTTTGATTTCAGTTCGTTGTGCTGTAGCTTGCAATGCTTTCAAACTGTGTCTGTTGTTAGTTGTTATCATTTGAGTACAACAGCTGAAATAAACTTGTATTTGTGGACCGTTTTTCATCTATCCTGGTGTGATTGTTCTTTTCTTGTTCTGCGATTGTTAGGCTTAGGCTATATTTACAAAATGAATAGGAATTTAATACCACACACACACACACAAGCATGAAAGTGTTCCTTTAATAAGTAAAATTCTGGATTAAACTAAACTGTATGGACAAAAGTTTAAAAAGTAGCCTACATTTGGTACACTGTAAATGAGAAAACAAATACTTCACTGCATTTTATGGAATGGAATAAGAAACTAATTTCATGTTTAAAAAAATTATTAACAAATGTTCATAAGTGTGCTTGTGCTTTTTTTTATTATATAGGCTACAATACTGTTCTAAGGATTTGTATTAGTACGGTTCTTTGTTCATGTTCACCAACTGCATCAGATTAAAAATATTAAAAAACATCAATATTGTGAAATAATTTTACAATTTAAAATATTTTTTTTTTCCCCCTGTGATGTCAGATCTCAACTTTTCTTCAGTGTCTCATGACCCTTCGGAGATCATTCTAATATGCTGATCAGTGTAGGTTGCAAAATGTTTGTTAGGCCACTGATATGGTGGTGAATGTTATTTCATTCATTGCCAGATGACAGTTTTAAAACTCAAACGGTAACAGAAGAGCATAAAAATAAATAATTGAAATGGTAGTTGGATCTGCGCTACTATTGGAAACCTGTGTAGCTGTAATCATCCAGGTTTTCTGGGATTTTTGGTTTCACTGTGTAAATGGAACCTTAAACCTTGATAATCTTAATTGGTAAATTTACATTTGTTTGTAAAAATGTTTAACTATTTTACATTGGAAACATGAAAAAAAAAATAATAATTTCAGCAACATGTTTTTGCAGCAGTGTATGATTGTCTCATAGTTTACAACCAGACTGCAGACAATTCACAACCAGACAACATATAGAATGCTGAACGGGGTAAGTTAATACATGGATCATCATACCAGTATACAAAAAAAAATATGTGCACAGATACGTTTATATAGGTTTATTTCATTTGTTGCAGGCAGTGATGTATTTGTCTGGTGAACACCGCTGCGGCACAAGACAATGTGGCAACACACATCTGCCAACAGTGTAGGAGCAATCCAGCTGCTGTCCGGTGTTGTGACTGTCAACCACGCCCCTTCTTCTGTGCTGAATGTGACGTCAGCATGCACACCAGACATGTTCTCCATAACCGAGATGCCATGACTGCTGGATTCTACCAGCCATTGCCTCCAACAACTTTTGTTGTAGATAAGGCTCTTTCCCATTGTGGTAAGTTCTGGTTTGTGATTGTACAACATAAATATCATTCTAAAAAATCGTTAGGCTTCATAAGCTTTACTATTTAAATAATGCCCTTTTGTCTCTTATTGTTTGATATTTAATTTATGTGGACACTCCGTGTCAGTCAGCTTTTTGAGCATCTCTTGTATACTTTTTCAGCAATGTACTTCATTACCATTGAACCATTACAATGTTATACTACTCAGTCAATACAAATTATCTTTATTCACATGTTTGATCTTTTTCAGTGCGGCTTGTACCTGTGGAGATTCCTGACAACATTTGTGGTTGTTCAGCAGAGTCATTGAGGGTCAGCCCAGGGAAGACTATTGCTGTGATCACAATGAATGGTAAGGGTGTGAAGATAAAAATCTATACATGCTCTACTCCCATAAGTTTGGCACAGGTCTGTATGTAAAATCTACACATGACTTTTGAGTAATGTTTAAAAAGTATACAAAGTAGTGTAAAAAATTGTTTAAAGAATCCAAACCCTGATTAATCACATAAGGTTTACATTAAAGTGGATGTGTTTTTGATTTTTCTAGGACGATATGATCTAAGCATGCCTGAGTTGAGATGTGAGGCATGCCAAGCCACTTGGGCTGCTGGAGTGGTCGACCTAAATCGAAGTGACTACTGGCCTGCGACCCTTCACTTTGCCACAATTTATGCCACAGATGTCTTTTTTTCATTTGAAGAAATGAAGATGGCAGCACCAGGACTGTCCTGCCAAGCATTTTTAAGAATGCTGGATCAGCGAACTGTCCGCTTTGGTCGTGTGAGTATTGAATTTATTTATCCTACAGTATTGTTAATGTCTTTGTATTGTGGGTTGAAAAGCTGTTTGATGCTAATGTATTTGTTGTATGTTATTAGCTGTTGGTTTCCTTAATTTTAATAGACTGGCAAGATCTCCACAGACAGTTTTCAGAAAAGTTTTTTTGAGTGGGAGGCTATGCTATATGAGGTGGACAAAATCTGCAAGGAAGAGCCCTTCATCTGTCCTGTATCGCAGATGATTAGACTATATATAGGACTACAATTACCTTCTACTGAAAAGTTTGTTTAGGAGAGTCTTATTTTCATCAACCATTTTCCATATTATAGGTCAGTGGAAGAGGTGTTTGTGGAGGGGAGTGGTCAGCAGCCAGAGAGACCTCCCAAAGCACATGATTTCAAATGTGAGGTAGTTGAACTTTGCTATGTGATTATGAAAACTGAACATCTGCAAATTAATGTCAAAACTTTCTCAGCATTATTATTATTATTTTTATTTATTTTTTTTCTAATCAGGTGAAATGGAGTGGGGCATATCAGGATGGGGCTGGTTTAACACTAGGGGAGGAGGTGGAACAGTGCAATGCTTTCCTCTCTAGGATTGCAGTGACCACAAAACACATGTCCAAACCAGGTAAAATTACCACATACTGCACTACTTGCATCGTTACATAATAAGTAGGGGGAATATGGTAACATGATATTTTCTGTGTTTGCAGGACGCACAGACATGCTGACTCTCATGGCCATGCGCTGGAATCAGCAAAAGTTCAACAATTTGGCCACCGCACTGACCCGGCGATATCAGAAGGTAATGACATCAGTAGAATTTGTTTTAGATGTTCAGTAATGTATGTTATTAGTGTTTGAAGCTGTGCATTGAACATTTGGTTCTTGTTTTTGTACTATCTGTGATTGCTTGTCATTGCAGACCACAAAAGCTCTGCAAAGCCAGTTGCAAAACCTAGAGTCCATGAAAGTCGAACTTGCAGTGACAGAGAGCCAATTGGAAGACTGGGTCAGTGACGTAAAGGAGTGGGCAGACGGTGAGGAAATGACTATATATATATATATATATATATATTAATTACTAGTAATACATTTAGTCATCAATAATTGTAATTGTTAATGTTATTGTAATTTTGTCCCACCTATTTCTTCTCAACAACAACAACAACCACAAATGATGTTGATGCCTTGGCCAGCAGAATTTAGGTGCTGGTGGCGAGTATCAAGAGACGTTCCCAGCGTCTCTATAAAGATACAGATGGCAACAAAGGTCGTGCCAGGATCCGCCGCAAGATCAGGGAGGAGAAGGGGATCCTGACATCAGTTGTAGAGAAATACAACAAAATGGTTCCAAACACAGAAACTCTGTGCTTGGAAACCATTTTGTCTGGTGAGACAGCTTGGCCATGGCAGCTACCACACAGTGGTATGTACACTAGTCTTCTGACAATTCTTATACATAATTGACATTACCCACAATGCTTCAAATGTCAATCTGCAGCCCCAAATGATTTTAAAGATTTTTTGAAGGTTGATGCATGACGTAAGATTTTCTCATGCATTCCAGACTCTGTCGATCTAAGGACAAAGAGAAAGGCATTCGACATCATGTCAGTAAGGAGACTTCAGGAGGAGCAGAAGATTCTTGTTACAGAGATGGACAACCATTGGAAATATCTTTCAACTCGTGCTGAGACCCTCAGAGAACTGTCCTGCTTGTTTGCCAGTGAGACACTGAAAAGTATGTATTTGTAATATATGGCACAAACATAAGCATAGGGTTGCCCCTGACCAAAGATTGTCCTGGAAAATGGGTTTATTTTATTGTACCACAAGTGGCTGTAGCTGTATAAGCCATCATTACACTTTGCCCAAATCTCTCTCCAATTGGTAGCTGAAAGTTTGCAATCTTGCTTTCTTGGAGTTGTCCTTGAAACTCTTTCAATGTTCCAATTTTGAATTTCAGTTTAAAAGTCTTTTAGTAATTAAATGAAGTAAATACTATCTTTAATGAACAAAGGGATATCTAAATATGTTCATTGTGCAAACCTTTATGATATATTTGAAAACTGAAATCAGCCGCACCACAGGGATGCGATGTTTTCATTCAAATCAAAGTGTAAATACACGTAGAAAACGTATCCTTGTGTCCTGGCTGACACAGAAGAGCGTACGCTGCTTGCGTTCAGTGGATATTCTCTAAAATGGTGCTACGGTGATGCGGAGAGACACAGAGGAGACAAATTGTTGAATAAAGTCGTTATTTTTGTTTTCTTCACGTACAAAAAGTATTCTCGTCGCTTCATAAAATTCAGATTGAACCACTGATGGCAGATGGACTATTCTGACGATGCTTTTCATATTTTCTGGACCTTGACAGTGTAATTTACTTGGCAGTCAATGTGACAGTCACAAGCCTCCCAGTTTTCATCCAAAATATCTTAAATTGAGTTCTGAAGACGAACGAAGCATTTAAGGGTTTGGAACGACATGGGGGTAAGTGATTAATGACAAAATTTTCATTTTGCGGGTGGAGTATCCCTTTAATTACTCACCCTCATGTCATTCCAAACCAGTAAGACCTTCCTTCATCTTTGGAACACAAATTAAGATGTTTTTGATGAAATCCGAGAGCTTTCTGACCCTCTATAGCAAGGACTTTGCTAAAATAACCATAGCACACCGTAATTTTACGAAGCTACGAGAATACTTTTTGGGCGCCAAGAAAACAAAAATAACAACTTTATTCAACAATTCTTCTCCTCCGCGTCACCTTATGCCGAGTTCACACTGCACGATTTTCAAAGTCGTCGGATCGCCGTTGTTTTCACACTGCGTGACTATCTGGGGTAGCATTCAGTTGCTGCTGTGTTCACATTGCACGATGGATCGGCGACAGGGGGTTTCACATTGCATGACTTCACAATAGGAAGAATCGCCGACAGCTCTGTCTGGTCCGCAAACTATGTTTCACAAAAAAACACACGCAAGATGTGATAAGGAAATAACGCGAGAACCTGCGTGCGTCAGACCGGAGTTCTCAAGCAAGACTGTAATTATTAAAAAAAAAATAATATATATATAGCCCGCAAATTGTCTGTAAGCTGATTTCCAGCTACAAGGAGAAAAAGAAAAACAGATTATGCAGGAGGGAGATGCAGGGAACAGGGACTGGGTGTTCTGCAAAGAGAGGTAAATAATTTTGCAGTAACTGTTATGCTGATGTTGTGGCTGGTCAAGCAAATGTTTGTGCTTGTTTCTGTATGATATAATTGTTCATATACCTATTAAAATACTGATATTCTGGTCTATAACTCCTCCACGAACTTCCCTCTGCCCTGTATCTTGGTCTCTCATTGGCTGTAGGTCATAGTGAGTATGCATGAACACGTTCAGAAATTCTGTTTAATAAGGCTGATTATTTTACTTTATTTCTTTTCAGAAAGCAGTACCTGATATTTTTTATTGTAGCAGTTAAAATTGTGTAAATCACTTTCACTATACACTGGCAATATGCTACTGTATGCAAATCCAGATAATATTTCACTTTTAATTACTGACCTTTTATCTCTTCAGATTTAATTGTCATGACTGGCTTTGTAAAATGGCTTTATTGGGTCAATAATGATTTCCTTAGATAAATGTTTGCACAGAAGATAGTAGTTCTTTTGTGTTTGTTTTACACTACTGGACTACTACCAGAGTGGGCGGATGTTGATAAGTTTGGCGCAGGCCCTGGGAAGGATCGTCCTGGCAGGCAGAGAGATGACCAGACTGTCCGGGTGAGTGCTTTGCCTCGGGTACATACATTCTTTGCTTGTTCCTCTTGCCATCCATTATCTCTACCCTTATCAGTGCTCACCTGCTGTCTGTCTTTCATCTGCTAAGTATGTGTGTTTATCTGGAGTCTGAATCCATTTATTAGGTTCACTGCACGGATCACAGAAATTCAGGAAGTCCTTAAGGAGCTGAATTCAGGCAGATATGAACGGACCATGGTAACACAGAGAATCAAAGGTCTGGACTATTGTGTGAAATGTTTGTTTTGTTTTAAACATAAATTTGTGACATAAGAGATGTCTCTATGAGTTAATACTAATACAGTTTAAATGTTTGGGGTCGGTAAGTTTTTTTTAATGTTTTTAAAAGGAACCTCTTATGCCTACCAAGGCCAGTGGCAAACACAGACCTCTGGAGGCTCCATTTATTTAATGAAAAATACAGTAAAAACAGTAATAATGTGAAAAAATATTGCAATTTAAAATAACTGGGTTTTAAAAAAAAAAATATTTTAGAATGTAATTTAATCCTGTGATTCAGCAGTTATTACTTCAGTCTTCAGTGTCTCGTGATCCTTGAGAAATCATTCTAATATCTATTGTTTCTTATTTTCTATATATATATATTTTTTTTTTCTCTTTCTTTTTCACAGACGATTCAGTAGAGAAAATCCCTCTTACCCCTGGGAGAGGTAAAATCATCATCGCAGACAACATTATCAAGTAAGCTACATACTACACACTAAATAAACAGCAACCAAGCCATCATAGTTAGCTTCTTAACATTTATGCATTCATTTAATCCTCAATTCCCAAGGTCTGTTTTTTTTTTTTTTCTAAACGTAGACATCATGTCTAACACAGTGTATCATTAGCAGTGTTGGGCAAGTTACTTCCAAAATGTAATACATTATATATTACTAGTTACTGTCTTTTGAAAGTAATTAGTTACATTACAATATTACTGTCTCTGAATTGTAATGCATTACACTACTTTTGAGTTACTTTTGAGTTACTTTCATCCAAAATATCCACATAAGTATTGTAAAATGCCAAAATGTAGTTTATTGCTGCTCATTATACATCCAGTGGAGGGTAATGTGGTAGGTCTATATAGCATAAAATATGAAATCATATTTAGATACCGGTATGTAGGTCTACATTAATGTTACGTTGTAGTTTAGGTTAAAAAATATAAGCACAAATCGCATTATTACATTCAAAAATAACACTGGTAAATAAAGCGAAATATTATCATGTACAAACAATAAACACAATACCTAGCCTATAGGCTATTTTGAACGGTTTCAGAAGAAAACAAGAATGAAAAATATAAGTTGCTAAACAAGCCAAAATGAATTAGGCTAATTCAATGCGAAACTGAAAGCAAACGGCGTTCTCGCGCAGCCTAGTGCTAATCAGTGTTGGGCAAGTTACTTCCAAAATGTAATACATTATATATTACTAGTTACTGTCTTTTGAAAGTAATTAGTTACATTACAATATTACTGTCTCTGAATTGTAATGCGTTACACTACTTTTGAGTTACTTTTGAGTTACTTTCACCAAAATATCCACAGAAGTATTATAAAATGCCAAAATGTAGTTTATTGCTGTTCATACTACATTCAGTGGAGTGTAATGTGGTAGGTCTATATAGCATAAAATATATGAAATTATATTTAGATACCGGTATGTAGGTCTACATTAATGTTACGTTGTAGTTTAGTTAAAAAAAATATAGTAAGCACAAATCGCATTATTACATTCATAAATAACACTGGTAAATAAAGCGAAATATTATCATGTACAAACAATAAACACAATACCTAGCCTATAGGCTATTTTGAACGGTTTCAGAAGAAAACAAGAATGAAAAATATAAGTTGCTAAACAAGCCAAAATGAATTAGGCTAATTCAATGCGAAACTGAAAGCAAACGGCGTTCTCGCGCAGCCTACCTCTCTCATTCGGCATTAATCCATTAAATGTGTCCATATTTGCGATGTATTTGAATGCTTTATGTAATCCAAGCTTACTTAACGCACTTAAAAAACATCCTCGTCACATGAGCAAATGTGTGTTTGGCCCGAGCTCAGGCTGATCGACACGGATTGTACTACGCAGTAGGCTACGCACTATTTAAATTAACCAGTGTATCTATGTTTGGTTGACTGTATTTTATTCTGATAATGAACAGGCTGCAACGTTTGCAATGCTGTATGTGTGTGCGTCAGGCGCCGGCGCGATGGAACAGCGGAAACAAACAACAAAAAAATACTCTGTTATTTTTGGTCATACAGATCATTTGAAACTGCAATGTGTTTACTTTATTTCTGTCATCTCGGTTTCCTTTCCCTGGACTTTCGTAGAGCGCCGCGCCACACAAATAGCAGATGAACCAAACTCAGCAGCATAGCCTATCTCTCAGTCTTTTCCTTTCGTTTTGTTAATCTGTTAATTAGGCTATTTAAGTCAAATATTTCGCATATTCATTCATTTTATATATACACTATGATTTAATAAAAACAGATTTTGTTATTTTTAGTTAAACGTAATTTTTGTTGCTTGTCTGCGCTCGTCCGCCGCCTTTTCCTCTTCTCCGACCCCGCAGCTCTCTCTCCGATAGCTTAGTGTTAGTGGCACCAGTCTAGGTGTTTCCAGGTTTTACTCGTGCTATTTCTCCATGTTGGGAGTTTGGTTTCGCACATATTGCACCATGCATTCTTATCCTTTTCTCCGATGAACTGAAAATAACAGGAGTGTGTCCGTCTCACAAATGTAGAATCCGTCTCTGCAGTCATCTCAACCATCTAATTCCAGCAACAGAAGATAGACAAACTATTTTACCCGCGGAATTTTTTCTCTGGTGCTGTTTTGCTGTGTTGGTAAATTCACCACTTAATTTTGAGTTAAAATATGTTGTTGTAACTTGCGTTACTGAGATTGTAACGAGTAATAATATTACCCAAATTTGATTAGTAATGCGTTATATTACTGCGTTACAGCAAAAAGTAATATACTACTGTAATATTATTACTTTTGTAATGCGTTACTCCCAACACTGATCATTAGTGTTTCAAAATGAGCTGTATCCTTCTATCCCCAGGTTTGAACACATACCTTTAGCGACGCCCAATGGAGACATTCTCATTCGTGACTTGTCTTTTGAGGTTAGTGCCCCATAAATAAACTTTTCCTAGTCTAAACTTGTTTTTAGCTTGTAAAACAGGGTTAAGTAATCTAGTTTTAGTAATTACCACCTTCCCTTCTTACATAAAGGTGTCTTCTGGGACAAACGTGTTGGTCTGTGGGCCCAACGGCTGTGGAAAGAGTTCACTCTTCACAGAGTGCTGGGAGAGGTTAGAGCTGTTCTTCAGCAGAAATATGTGGTTTTAGAAACCTCAGTGGTTTTTTTTTTAATTGTTTGCTGACATTGTCTCTTTGCTTTCCCAGCTGTGGCCTCTATGTGGAGGACAACTCACAAAACCAGAGAGAGGGAAACTCTTCTATGTTCCTCATGAGGTCTTTCATGGCAGCCGGTTACTTTTCTCTTCCCTTTTAAAGGTTCATTTGTTTGTATTTTCTTCAGAGGCCCTATATGACACTGGGTTCCCTCCCTGAGATCAGGTGATTTATCCTGACACACATGAAGACCAAAAGAAGAAAAGAACGTCTGATCGGGTGAGTTTCATAATGAAATGGACATCAAAATATGTTATGTTATAAAGGGATAGTTCACTCCAAAATGAAAATTTCTGTCATTCTTTACCCATAAGACCTATGTTCATCAAAACACAAATGAAGATATCTTTAAGAAAACCAAAGGGATTTTCTTCACTGAAAGTCTATTCCACAAAAACTTCACTTAATGTTTCAGAAAGTTCATAAAGAGATTACAAAAGAAATAAATATAAATTGAACAGTTTAATCCAAGTCTTTTGAAGAGACATGATCGCTTTATTTGATGAACAGATTTAATTTAGGCTTTTATTTACCTATTGATCAACAATCCACATACATATACAGTAGAAAAAATGAAGTTCAACCATGCTTGCTTGACACAAAAGAATGATGTTTGTTTACCCGTGTCACACAAGTAACGCTGAACTTCAGTTCAATCATGACAACTCTCGGAAGATTTTAGCATGGTGATGGATATGACAATGTTAATGTATTTGGTCTTGGCGGAACAGATCTGTACGCTGCTGCTGAATTGCTGCTGCTGTTGGTTATTGCTGTAGTTGTAGATTATTGCTGCTGCTGCAAGCAAGTACAGAAACTTGCTACTGCCAATGCAT